CAGTAGCACCATGCATCTCTTGGGTATAGCTATTTGGAATGATAGTACTTTCACAAAGGAATTCAGGAGTGCCTTTTCTTTTCCTCATCGCCTGGTATTTGGAGTCATTTCTCTTCATGTCGTTTTTCAAAAACCATTTATCCGCGAGTGACAAGTCAGAGTTTATGGTATCCTGTACTATCAGAGGATCAGCAAAGAAAATTTGCGTGTCATCTCCATAATTTGACTGGTTGCTACGCTTAAAGTGGTATCGTTTATGCCAATTATACTTTTCTTTCCTTTTTCGACAGCCATTTTAGAACAACCTAAACACCCAGCAGGACCGAGAGCTCTCACTGATTAGCAGCGCGACTCGTTTACTGGACTGTGCTATGCATGAGATCAAAGAGTGAGGCAGATTGGTCGGAATAAATTAATCGAGGATAGTGAATAGGCTTATGTCTAATCATTTGCAAAAACCGGTCACATGGTACAAAATCTGCCACACTGATAGAAGGCGAGCTCCGCACTGCTGAAATTGAAAACAAAGAAAATTCAGGGATGACCGGTTCAGGTCGCTTTGGTTTAATTTGGAGGTCTGTACATTTTTTTTTTGCCATCCAGGACGAATTTTGTAACATGTAGTCGGTTCACGCAAAGGGCGCATTGAAGTCCCTTTGTTCCTTTTCTACAGTTCAGCGCCATGTTGCTTTTAGGCGCACCAGAATATCACGTCACTGTACACACAAAAAGTGTGCATTTTTTCCTTCAGTAGACCATTGTCTTCGAAAGTGACTAAAAGATCATTATATTTTCCTCATAATGTTTGGCTTTTTTTTGTTTCACTTGATTTTGCGTATCTGGTGACTGTCGTGACTGACATCTTAAGATTCTTCCATAGCTCGATTTAAAGTGGTTCACAACTGTACGTAGCTCTTTGTTTCAATTGTGCTTTGATAGATCAGTGCTGCTACCCCGTATTACATGTACACGGCATTGAAACAATTGTATCAAACGAATTCTCAGGGCTTGAGATGACCGGTTGCCTGAGAAAACCGTATCCTCAGTCTTAACTTTTAGTGCTTCTCGCTCTGAGCCGCCGAAAACCCATTTTCTTATTTTCTTATTATATTTCGTGAACACTGTTTTGGGTAGAACGTGATTTTCACATAACAAACTGTGTTGATTTTTAAGCGGTCTTGCCAAATTCACCTGATTAATCATGTCTTTGTCTTCGTAGACTAGACAATAAGGCAGTGCTTAAACATTGGAAGGAATTTTACGTTCCATAACTGGTCAGGATCACATTTCAAACAACTTTGCATTTAGGAACTTTTAACCTTTGACTGTAACGTTAATGGCTAAAAATAAAAAAAAAACGATATAGTAAGTCATAGAAGAGGAATTTGAAAAGTCCCTGAACAAAATGCAGTGACATGATGTTGAAAACTCGTCAGTGGGGTCTGATCTACAACGTGGAACTGAATTCAAATATGAGCCTATGAATTTTAGATCGAAAGGTTTCATATCGGAATGCGTAACGTCAATCGCTTTGACTGTCCACAATATTTGGTGACGGCAAAAAAAAATTACTATACCCAATAGAATAGAATATTTCGTGAAATAGTTAGATTACATCCTTAATCAGGGAAGCTTCACGGAAAGAGTTAGAGAGTTAAGGTACGACACTGATCTGTAGCTGTCAGCGGTCTAAGTGTACGCTTGTGTGACTCAAAAGTAGCTGTCTAATTCTTCAGTAATTGTTGTGTACCCTTACTTCATGGTGGCTGTCAGTGATCTTTGGATGTTCTTCAGCTGAAACAGCTTAATTCTGATATCAAGTGCACGCTTGTCTGACTCAAGAGCGGAGGTGTAATCGTCCAGTAGATGCTGTGTAACTCCTACTAAATTGAAACTTTCATGGTCTCTGCACATTCTTCTCCAAACACATTAATCCTCACATCTCCCGCACGCCTGTGTGACTCCAGAGCGGAGGTGTGATCACCCGGTGAATACTGTGTAACCCCTTCTGAACTGTCACCGGTCTTTGGGGGTTCTTCACCAAACAGTTTTATCTGATATCTAGTGCACGCTTTTTTGACGAAAGTGTAATCTTTCAAAATAAAAATGAGCGATAGAAATTTTACACAACGTTTCGATGTCGTCATGACATCATTATCAAGTAACAAGAAAATAACGGTTCAACAGTGTTATATATGCGGTGAGAGGTGTGATTGTTCATTAACATATTTGTTTAACCCTTTGAATACCAAACATTTGCCAAAAAATACCGTTTTTAACCGTTTAGTCAGGTTTTTTAGCTGCCATGACGCTAAATAAGCCTAAGTTTTGCTAAAAAAAGCGTTTTTTTACTAAAAGGAGAGATTTTTCGAGGATTAGGTACAAAATTGAGTAAAACTTCAATTACGGGCACGCGCATTAGCCAAAATTTGCCACTAACCGTTCTCAGTTTCGTTTGTTGGCCCTTTACTTTCTGTTTTTCTCTGCCCTTTTGCATTGTATGTTCTTTCTGGCTGCAGTGAAAAGTTGGATGTTAATTACGGGCGAAGCCTAGAAATGGACCTTGATCAATCATAGGCGTTGTGG